GCCGTGATGTCAGAGGGCTCCTGAGTGAACTCTGGAGCGGCTGCCGAAAAAAACACCAAACGCAAATTCTGTAAGTGCCTCACACGTCTTCCCAACTCCAGAGCACTTGATGTTTATCACCACCTGCTTAAAGACTTACAGCCAACATCTAAAGTCACTCTGCCCATGGCAGTGCCGGCATCATTGATGGCCACACATGTATAGTCTCCGGCATCCTCGTCTTGGGTTTCTTTGATCCTCAGGATCCCTCGCAGACCATCAATGTTCACAAATGATGATGGCCTGAGCTGGAGATCCCCTGCACGAATGCAATAAACACTCGGGCATTAAAAGTGTGGCAGACCGGGTGACGAAGATGTCAAAGAAAACAAAGGATCCCATCGCAAAGGGGACTTCTGAGGAACCCATGTACTCAAAGCTCTCAAAGGCTTGGATAAAGTCAACCTAGAGGACTTCTTCAGAAAAAAAAAATTGAAACACAATCCAGAGGAAGCTCAAAATATGCGAGCATGCATTTAACGTTTAACAGGAGGCACAGAAATGGTGAGGGGTCACAGAACAAGCTACCCAGCCAGTAACTTGGCTTCTTCGAGATCACTGTCTGTATGAGATCCACAGAACAATTAGCTGTTGGCTACCAAATGGGCTTGATGGGCAGAATGGCCTCTTATTCTTTGGAACCTTAAAAATGATTACTTTTGTTCTGTGAAAGATGTTCATTGTTTTGGCCAATGTTTGTATCCAAAGCAACTTATAATTTTGTAAATAAAAATGTTGGCGCTCATTCAGTTGGGTTTGCAGGGACAACCTGGGTCAGTTACCTGAAGATCTCTTTAATTATGCCCTCCATCTTGTATTTAAATGTGCACTGAAATATAAACTGGTACTCCCATATAAATTAGATTATCTTTCCCTCAAATCTAGTAAAATGTCTCTGTAGCTATAAATGAAAATAATGTCCAGTAGATGGTCAAAATCACAAAAGAAGTAGAGACACAAAGAGGTGATCTGCTGGCAAAGGTTTGTGGGAAAAGCTATAAGGGTCATTTGCAATAAGAAGGGAATTCGTTCGGGCTAGTGGTTATGTTCACTGTTACCCTTCCTGTCAGACGTAATGTCCAGTGAGAGCAGTAAACATCAGGCTTAAGCTGCATGGTGCAGTAAATCTGACTGCTTCAAAGGTAAAAGGGAGGACTAAAAAACTAAACACAATATAAGTCAAGAAATAACCCTGAAATGATCTATTCCACCAGTCGCCCCTGACAAATTAAGTCTGGCTTTTTTACATAGAACAAAGACCAATCTTGGGCAGCATGGCACCACATATAGAACCTTCATATTCTTGTTGCCACCCTGAGTGGATAATATGTTACTCACCTTTATACCAAAGGACTTCAGGCAAGGGGATCCCTGTGGCTCTGCACTCCATGATAGTGGTGTCTCCCAGGCCAATCAGAATTGCCTGCTGGACAACAGTTATCTGAGGAGCCTCTGTAATAACAGACAAAGCATTTTTCATAAGAAACAAAACAAAAGAAACTAGTAACTTACTTTATAACCAATACTGACATGTTTAAAATAAACTCATTAAAGAAGATGGACATATGAAATGTAGTTAGAAAACCTTTGAATAATGACAATATCTCTAGAATTTGCATAGCAGGGATAGGCAACCTTGGCTCTTTAATTCTTAATTATTCAAGTGCTCTTAGGGTATATTGATTGATTAAGGATAGGACAGACATGACGTACTGGGTAAAGATTACACTGTATTTCACTTCTGATTAGATACCAGGGACATTTCCAACCAATAATCTCTTCTCAGACTCACCGATGAATGTAAGTACAGAGGTCTGCCTGTCTGTTCCAGCTGCATTGCTAGCCAGGCAACTATAGACTCCCGAATCCTTCCGGACCATGTTCTTTATGATCAGAGTCCCGTCCAGGGTCAATCTGTGCCTTAAAAGTTTTCAAAACCAATATTTCAGGAAGAAAACCCATCACCTAAACACTTGCGCCATTCTGCATTCAGATGAAGTGAGAGCATTACCTGCTGGATCCCAAGATGAACATGTCATTGTGTGTCCAAACCACATGAGGCGAGGGATATCCTCTTGCTGTGCAACGAATACGGGTTTCCTGTCCAGCTATGAATGTCTGATTCTTAGGGTCGACGCTGACTTGTGGGGGCTCTGGGCGGAAATATAAAGATATCATTGAATACAGTGAGATAGTTATGGTTTTCTATTTTTTGGACAGCGGTGCTGGTTGGTTCAGTTGTACTCCTTTGAATAAAGTATTCTTGCTGCACAAAATGCTCTAGGAGAATGTTATTCCATTAAAAAGCATTTTACTGAGTGACGCAACAAAAACAAGAGGCATGTCTCCTTTGCACATTAGACAAAATGTCCAAATGTGATAACATTTTATCACCTGGTTATAAACTGTTTGAGTAATGTTCCTCCCCATGTCTTGAAGGTGTTCATATTGTGTAGTATAAATTCATCTTCTGTCCGAGTCCTATTACTATACCTGAGCTTTCATCATTCAAGTGTTCAGTTTTAAAAGTCTATGCTCCGAAGCCAATAGTTTCTATATTTCATGATCTTGAAGATGCCCCTGTTATGCTGCAAAGTTGAGGGCTTTGTGTTTTCTTGCGAAAATCTCTTTTCTAAAAAGAGCTGAGAAGAATTCAGTATCACAAATGCTCTCTATCTCTTGAGAGCATTTACCTTTCACACTTTGATAACTGAGACTACATACTGTATAAGAAGGCTCAACTCAATGAAAATCACATTCCGTGCCCGTTACAAAGAGACCTTTGTGATCAAGTGTCAAAACCAGTCTGTTTGCTAGACTCGATAACGAACAGTGAGTGCATCGTTTCTCCTACCCCTTGCCTTCCTGTGTCAGCTGCCTGACATCAAAGACCAGCTAATGACTAGGACTGCCATCACTGCAAGTGCTAATTAGCTGTCTTCAAGCTGTTGGGACAGCTGTTTTGGGGGCTAGATCGCAACTTTGTCTAAGGAATCAAAGATATTTGACTCCAACAACGTTTACTTGAAAACAAAAGCTGATGGTAAAAGAGAGATGGAACAGACCACCACACACAATGTAAAGGACCTTTCTGACAATGCTACTAATTAATAAAAATGCAAAGAAACAACAATATATGGATAGGTAAAATATGATGTTTCAGGTAAACACAGAAGTGAAAAGAGCCATTTTCATTAAAAATCAGGAAATGCACTTCTAAAGACTACAAAGCTGAAAGTAAATCCTTTTTATATAATGCAATATTCCAATGACTTATGAACTTTTATTTAAGAATTTAAATTAAGATAAGAAATGTATATTAACCTCTGAATCCTGTACAGTATGTAAATAAAGTTAACTACATTTGCAGTGCTACAACATAAATGTGTCTTCACATGAGCCCTTGTCATATTTCAGATAGGATTCTATGCTGTTAAAATAATTTTTGAAACGCATAAACTGTAGTACATACTATATTAATACCCATGTTGACTTCTATCAATAAAAAATTCAGCCTCTGCCACAGCAGTTTTCTTTAGTTTTCTTTAATGTGGAATGCTCACAAAATAAATTTATGAGCTCAAAACTAGGACTTTAAGCGCAACTGTATACCTGCCAAATAAAGCTAGCTTTTTTCTCAGTATCATAAGGTCTTACTAAACTGCTTGGAATGGAAAGCTAATATTATAACCTCCTAAAAAACTAGATATAAATCAGTTTCACACATCCACTATTAAAAGAAGAGATTTTGCTGAGAGAGTACAGAAATCTGCCAGGAGTTATTATCTCCCAGTTTTCATCTCCTGGCTTTTACAAGTCACATCCAGGCCAGAAAGGGAGCTGTCATTACATACAACAGGCTCTACAGAGTCAAGATCTTCATTTAATCTTCATTAAAATACTGATCTGTAGATTAATTTCATTCCAAAAATGGTATTTATATTCCTGTTTGCTAAAATTACAGTAGTTTATTAAACTCAAACAGGCCAACTGAAGTGAAAGATGCCAGTGAGGGAAATCTAGGGCACAATTTATCATCAATTCAAGGGAGGCCTGATAAATAAAAAAGATTAAAGGTGTTCAATATTTTTTGCTACACACACCAGCAACAATTCAGAACTCATTGACACCAGAGACAGATTCTTTTCCTTTTTGAAACCAAATAAGAATTTACACCTAACTGACTTGTATTCACAGCCTTTTGTAAGACTTTTCAGCTCCTCTTCTCCAAAGAGTGGAGGAGGACCTGGCCACTCATCTTTAGACAAGCAGCAGTCTTGACAGTGCCTTGCAGGTGACTTTGCCTTGACCAGAGGAGAAGCACGTCTTTCATAGCAAACTTGCAGGTGCCTCCAAGGTTGCAAGAGCAACAGTGTAATTTTCTTTTGGTGGAATTTGAGTAGTCCTAGGGTGAGTAACCCCCAATCTACCCTGAATAGTGGTCAGCCAGTTGTGCACTGTTGCTTGGTATGACAGTTGACAAGTGCAGTGATTCCCAGCCCTGATCCAGGAGAATAGGGTGGTTTTCAGACCAGCTGATCTCTTAAAGTTTCCAAGAAGTTCAGCATATAGAACTTCATGCAGTCTCTCATCCACTTGCTTGCTTTTATGTCTGACTCAACCGGTCTCGGTGGTTGATGCCAGTCAACCACCTGACTAACAACTAACAATGACCAGACAAAGATGGGAGTGACACTGTATCATATACTGTATGTCCACACTGAGCACTTCTGCAGAGGTCCGATTGGTTACATTCCAGGGAACGAGAAATTGGTACAAGGTACAAGTTTGGCTGCAATTAAAAATTTGGCTGAAGGCGGAGTGTCCCTGCAGGACCAGAGTTGGGAGCCACTGGGTTAGGGACACGGTCCACACTTTGCTAAAGTCGGCACATACACATCCCAACCGATCAATCAGTCGGTCACTCACAGAAACAGGGAGGAAGCAGACGGAAAGGAGCCCCTCACCCTGTACAATGAGGTAGACACTGGCGACTGTGGCACCCCCTTCGTTGGCAGCGATGCAGTTGTACTCCCCAGCGTCACTCGTGGTCACTCTGTGGATCTCCAGGGACATGTTGCTCATGAGGCGGATTCGGGGATCCAGCACTCGAGCGTCCACTCCGCTGCGCTGCCAGGTGAGGTTGTAACGCACCGTGCTGGCTACCAGGCAGGTGAGGATTGCTCTGCCACCCGGAGTGACAGTCACGTTGCTGGGCACATTGATAACAGGAGGGGGCTCTGGAACACAGTGCACACGGATCACATTAGCCTCATGGCTCTGACAACAATAGAAGTATAAAGGCCGGCAATAAGTAATGTCCATGGGCCTGTCTGTTGTTAAAATTGTTTTAGGATGCATATTGTGATTTTTCATTTCACTGAAGACAATGTGCAATTCTTTTAGAAAAAAAACAAGACAAGACAGAAGGCATTACGGCCTCCGACGGCATCGGATTTTCACGTGTTTGTAAAGAGTTTACTCTTTTCAGAGCTCATACAACAACTCGACAAGTTATCATTTCTGAAAAAATAAAATTAGCAGAAAAATAAAGGAAAAATGACTGGAAAATATAATTTATTTAAAGATAAACATTTGAAACCAAACATACAATCGCTATGAATTAAGAGCCCTCAAGTCTACAATAAATTATCTTTACTTGTATCAGAGAGTTCTGCCCTCCTTTTTGTAAACAACAAATCACATAAATCACATACAATCACATTTTTTTTTCTATCAAATTAGTTTGGCTTATCATTTTTAGGGAAGGAACATGAAACTGTGGTCCAATGCGTGGAAAAACTTTCTGATTTCAAAGCAAAGAAAAAGACTTTTCAGTCATGCCTGGTGGTGTGCTGTGCCACATTGCCAATTAGTTTAAATCATTTTTTAAAATGTAAGCCAGCTGTACTGTACAATACTTTCACATTGAGGAATTTCATCCATAATACGACAGAGTTTGACAGTGAAGAAAAGAGAAGAAAGAACTGGCCCAAACATTGAGGTGAACAGTATTACAAGTGTACCACACAAAGAAGTTCAAGTGACCTCTGAGCTAATAAGTTGAGTCAATGTTTCTCACTTAGGAAGGATTATTTTCTTTAGCACTGAATATCTTTAAGGTCTGCAGTTCTATGAGGGTTTGGCATCCTCTTGTACATTTCTATAAACGCCAAGGAAGACCAAATCAAACAGTTTCAGTTATGTGTTTATTTAAACACTACTGAGTACAATATGGTGTCAGGTTTTGTTGCTGGAGAACCCTAACTTTTGGGCGGCACTTTAACAGGATGTAGTTCTAAGGTTAAACTAGCCAGAAACTGGAACATAATGTTGTATATTTTACACATAATGGTCTAAGCTCAGCTATTTTAAATACTGGTCATTATCTTTTTCACTGTAGATAATAGAATGCAACTGAAGTTCTTTTTGTTCGCTTGTTTGCGTCCATTTTAAATGACACACCAAACATTTGTGTTCCATACAAAAAGTCCTCTAGACATGGCACATGCATTTTGAACTGCATAATGATATGTTCTTTTTTAACAAATTAAAAAATTAACATTAAAAGTTATGCCAGGACAAATATCAGAATGTCAATTTTCCCTTCTGTGAAATTAAATTATCAGCAAGGCAACACGGAAAATGTTTTACTTACAAAATGCCTCAATTTTACCAACATCACTTAAAAATTATTACTGTGTAAACGACAGAATTTTGGAACTAATGACTGTAATTTCCAAAAAATAACATTAGCTCTTTCTTAGGAAGTTCTTGTTGCCTAAAAAAACTCCAATCAGGCTCCAAGTGCAGACTGGAGCTGATTATTGACAATGTTATAAATCCTTGCAGTGGAAAAGATGTGAACTGGACAATTACCCTTAAAAATTCTGAAATGCATATTGCAACAGTCAAGTATCACAGACTGTTACTTTAGGTAGTTCATTAGAGAAATTACTGAAAAATATCACTTTTGTTAGAATTCTCACTGTTGTATGTGTCATTGCTACAATACCATATCTTCTCAGAGGCTTGAATTCACATATATATATATATTTTTAAAGTATCCAAAAATGCATTATTAGAAAACTAATCGGTATGAAGAATACCACATTTGGAAGTTTGCTGAAAGCATTCCAAATGACACATTGTCTGCCATCCAAACAATCATATTAGTACCAGATTATTCTCAAGGCCAGATGTTGCTACAGTCTGTGCCTCATTAAGTTGTGAACAAATGCAAAACATGTATTCTACTATGTGGTTGATACTTATTATGAAGAAGAATGAAAATATGGTAACAGAAATCCAGCAGGTAAGAAAAAATGCCATTAAAGACAGGGACTGCATCAAATAATATGCTTAAAACCTTTAAACCCATTGTCTCAGCCCAACTTTGGATTTGTTTAAATTTGTATAGCTCTGCCCTGAGAGACATTATCAGGTTTTATTGAGCATAACACAGATGCCTTTTTTTCTTTTTGCCACATTCCACTTCTCCCTAAAGAGTTTGCACTGGGATAGCCAATGAGCCACACTCAGTTATTGTCTGGTTTTCTGCTCTGAAACCTTTACTGATCTTCATCAGACTGAGAGATGAATACTGGGACTGATCCAAAGCAAACCCAGCAATATCTGCCCTATCTAAGCTGAAGTATTTACGTGTGGTTCCTTAACCCTAATCAGATTGTATCTAAAACAGAAAACCTTACAGAGATGGCAAAGAGCAGATCGGCTTTCATCTGAGTCTCTGGGCATGAAACTAATGGATATTCGACCAAAATGACACATGTGATCCATTACCCTCAATTTCACAGTATTTACTTTCAGGACTCAATGATATTTATTTAACTCCAAAATGCATTTTAATTTATTTGCATCTGGCATGCTGCTTAATTTTTCTGTTAACTGTACAAAATGAGATTTATGGGCTGTTTCACAGCAAGTGAAATTAAAGATCGTATCGGTCACCTGGCACATGTCATGACCATGCACAATTTAACTTCAGGTCATGAATGTCATGGTGTTGAAACGCTTAAACAAAATGCACTATTTATGAAAAACAGAAGTAAAACACAAAGCAACATTATCAATCTCCCTAACCTGATTGCATTAAAAAGTGTATTATATCAATATTGTAAGAGCTCTGCATAAAACCTTGTAATGCACATGTACCTTGAGAAAAATACTAAATCATCTGTTCTAAAATGGTACACAAAGCATCCTAACAAGAAGGCCAACCCAACCTTTCCATCTAACGACACATCACAGAATTCTCCTACCTGAAACATCCAGAAAGGTCTGGGCACGCCCTGTTCCTGCACTGTTGATGGCGATACATTCATAGTAACCTTCGTCACTCAAAGACACACGTTCAATCTCCAAAGTCGCATTTGAAGACTCCCTGCAGATGAAGAAAATATACAAAACAAAATGATTTGGTTAATGCTAAAAAAATACCAACAAAACCCAAATCATTTAAAAATTTTCAACTGACTGGGAGGTTTAAACATGTTAAATCCCTTTGCACTGGGGGAGTAATGTTTTTCAAGCACTATGAAACTGACAACTTTCAATGTGACTTTTCAACTAAAAAATGTTAACTGATGGCTGGAAATGTGACTGAAGCCTGAAAGAAAAGGTACATTCTTTGCAGAAAAAAAGTCTGAAACATCTCTGTGATGATGACATCAACAAGGGCCATCATTTAAAATCTGCTGTGTAGGAAATTTATGAAGATGTAGGAAGAAATGTCTTACTACTGTATATCTCAAGCTAATTTATCATCTTTTACTATGTTTTGCAATTATGTATCAATGACTATTTATCAGCAGCTCTTAACCAATAAGCTATATACAAACATATGGAAATAATTGCTTTCTGAAACACCTTAATCAAGGCAGTGCTGTGACGACACTGCTTGTTAGCGTGCAAGGTCTACTGGGAATTTTCTGTAATGTTTCCAGAATACACCACATACATAGCAAAGTGTTAGATTACATTCACAATGAAAAAAAGCTGTACAGTCCTGTTCCATTCTAACCAGAATGCAAATTCAAAAATGATTCCAGTACAGTTTCTTGAATATGTCCAGTAATGTTTACACGTAAAAACGTTGTCTGGAGAATCTGCCGTCTTGTCTTCTCATTCTGGAATATGTGTGCAGATGTCAAGACAACCAATATCCAATGAGCATTTCATGCTCTGAAGGCCACTGCTGGAAGCCATATGGCTTAACAGCTCATTCAGAGATGGTATGCTTGTTGTGCCACAGTTTTGGGAAATATCTCCATTTGTTCTACCTCAATCCATTTCTCTCAATCTATGCACTTATCACTTAATTGGACTATTGGATTCATATTCTTGTGCAAAATGGTACCTGAAAAACTGGTCCACTCCCAATTTAAGGCCATCTCTGCTGAAGCGCAGTGTGAAAGGAATCAGGCTGTCCACAAAACAGGAGATTGAGGCTTTCTGTAAGTAGTAACCTGGAGTTTGCTGAGGCATCATCACCTTGGGAGCATCTGGAAAAACCAAAAGAAAACAATAATGCTATAAGAAAAAACATAGCACGCATTACTCTTTGACAATCCAAGACCGATGTCAAGAATCAGAATTACAGAATGCATTTATAGTTGAAAAGGTTTATCTACATCAGTGGAAACAACTAGAAAACTGCTCTTCCCTTTTTTGTGCAATGTATTGGAATAATTTAAGGAAATAAGGCCTTAGTGTTTCCTGGTACATTATGGTATTCTTGAGGTGACCAGTCCATTGGTCATGAAATGCTAGAGACATTTGTAAACCGCTGTCAGTCTACAATCTTGAAAAAGTAGATCATGCACTCAACACAGAAGGTTTAGTTTTGTTGAAAGATTTATGGTAACCAGAACATAAATCTTTGCAAGGATATGGTCATCAAAACACACAGCGAGAGATAATTGTGAAAGATAAGCTGGTCTCACCTGGGATGATACTGGAGAAAGAGACGCTGGAGACACGCTGGAAAAGGTAGTCGTCTTTGTCGTAGCCAGTGACCTTGATGAAGAAGGCCTCATCGGGAGGTATGAACTCAGTGATGTTCCAGATCCCATAGGGTCTGCGCTCGGGAAAATAGCGGATGGGGAGGGTCTTGAGCACGCTCCCGGAGATGCTGAGGAGCTCCAGGCGGTCAGCTCGAGCCGGGGGCGAGATTCCGGTGGTGTTCAGGAGGATGAAAGTGGGAATGCCTGTAATAAGGAGACACATAAAAGAGGGACATGTTAGAGGATGATGGAGAACAATCTGCTGACAATTTCAAATTTTACCTGATTCACTTTTAACAAGATATTTGAGGTTGTTTGAACTGCTAACTGAAGGAGGTGATACAGTACTGTATATGGATTTTGTATTGGCTTGTAGTATTAAAATTACTGCTTTGTTTATTTTTTTTATATGTTAATCCTGGATTTTAATAAATAAGCAAACATGATGTTCAATAGGCCTGATAGCTGTACAAAAAAGGGGTCAATGACATACTAACTAATACATTAACATGAAAGTTAATAATAATAATTAATAATAATTCCTTACACTTATATAGCACTTTTCTGGACACTCCACTTAAAGCGCTTTACAGGTAATGGGGACTCCCCTCCACCACCACTAATGTGCAGCCCCACCTGGATGATGCGATGGCAGCCATAGTGCGCCAGTACGCTCACCACACACCAGCTCTCAGTGGGGAGAGCACAGTGATGAACCCAATTAGTAGATGGGGAATAATTAGGAGGCCAAGGTTGGAAATTTAGCCAGGATGCTGGGGTAACACCCTTACTCTTTTCGAGGAACGCCTTTGGATTTTTAATGACCACGAGAGTCAGGACCTCGGTTTTATGTCTCATCCGAAGGATGGCACCTTTTTACAGTATAGTGTCCCCAGACTGCAGAGTGAGTGGCCCCTGCTGGCCCCTTTAATACCTCGTAAGTTAATATGTGTCTAAGGCTAGCAGAATCTTAAATGGATTGTAAAAATGAAGTTATTTTGTCCAGCAAGCCTTTTAAGCAGAACAGAGTCTAACCATGCACAGGCCTGCTGGAAGTCTTTTTAAAGTCCAGTGTGGGCTTTCTTGAGAAACCAGCTCTGAAGTCGATGGTGCTCAGCCCCGACATGCGAACTGAGTGTCTTCCACTACTGGAAGTCTGTGGATGAAAAACAGAAGGGAAAATAAATCGATGTTTACATTATTTAGCCATTTTCAAAAGGAAATCAGATGGAAAATGACAGAATTTACCAAACAAATTTTTTGTCACAAAACGACATAGAAATAAAAAATGTAGGCATGACATTTTCAATAAATCTACAGGAATATTAGTCATTTTATGGACACAAGTTTTAATTCAAAATGTCTGTTTTACTTTTAGATTCCCACTCCTTCAATGAATAGCTGCATTGGCATTTATAATACTTCACTCCTTTCCTAAACACATTCTGGCCTTTATACATCATGAAGTATGTATCTGTAAATAGTGTAATATGTGATGATAGAGTGTTTTTGAAGTTTATATTCAGATTCAAGTCTGCAGGAGAGGGTAGCTCATGATTCACATCCAAACATGTGGTACTTTGTTTTATGACCACTTAGATTTATCTCTATCCATCTAGACACCCCCCAAAAAATTCACCTCCTCTGACCTCTTCATGTCATGAAGAGATATAAGCCTGCATTTCAAAAGGGGTATATAGATAATTTCCCATTGACAACAAGAAAGTAAAAAGAAGTTAGAATTTAGAATCTGACATTGACCTGACAGCTTATGTCGGCCAAAACGAAGTTCAGGAGAAGTGCAAGAAGTACTGTCCCATCTGCATGATAAACAGCAATTACATTTCACATCCTTTTCTGAAGTCATACTCACAGCTAATTAAAAACAAATATTAGCGTTTCTAAAGTTCTTTCTCTGTCAAACCACACTCATTCCAAAGTCAATTCCAGCTATTTTCAACCGTTCCTGGAAGACCACTTTGTTAACACAAAACAGTAGAGGTATACAGTTCACTGTTTTCAAAGGCAAATCCAAAGATTGTGCCAAAATGCAGGACAGCTGTTCCATGATATTACATTTCATACTCACATGCGTGTGCTTTTTACCATGTAATCTGGATCCCATAACAATATCGGAGCCTAATTCATACCAGCGACACTAATACAAAAAAATCAAAATGCAACAAAGTGTGTGTGAAATACAAATTCTAAAGTGAGTGTCATAAAAACGTATTGTACAGCATTATGGAAGGGGGAGCATATAAAAAAATGTTAATATATCAGCGAAATAGGAGAAGTGATTAACAAAGTGTGTTATCTTTCAGATCTTCAAAAGTTTTAATGAAAGCAATTAAACAGCAAACAAGGTTCTGCTCTTTTGTGGTGAGTATTTGCTCATGAATTTGGGCAATAATAAGGTTTAAAATATTTAAAACTAATCAGTTATTTACTTTGTTCAGCTGTTTAGGTTTTAAAACACAAATCGTGTATATCCTGATTGTTGCTAGGATACATTCTGTGTTTACAGAAAAGCATAAGCCAAACAATTTTGAAAGAAACGTTACAAAACTTTGATTGTTTCAATGGGAAACTCTCATATATCCGTTTCCCACAACAAAGGACTAAACATTTGTTTTGTTAGCAAAGGGACCTCTTTTAGGTTGATATCTTGAAAACTGGATGAGGAAAAAAAGAATTAAAAATGGTAATATCTCACTGTAAATGCACAAACACAATACTGCCATTCCAAGTGTGAAACATTTATTTAATATCGCATTAAAAAAATATTCCAAAGTGTTGAAAAGATCTTATTAATTATTTGCAGTTCTGCATATGCCAAGAACATAGCAAAAGTATTTAGCGTGGGGCCTGCACCATTAATAACTTTTATTTTATCACATTCAGATCTTAATACCAAACAAATGATGTTACTTATAATGAGGCCTTTAAAGGAACTTATTAAGACCCGAATATGCTGGCTTGTGAAAAGACAATGGCTTTCAGGAATTTCTACAGCAACACCCTCCTCAGAGGTTGCAGATGGACACTGAGCCTCCCTGTGGGAGTGCAGTTAACATGGCCCAGTGGGGAGTCCTGCCTTGGAATCCTTTTCATGAAAGACTGGCTAAAGAGGTCCTCTCTGTAAACAAACCACAAACGCTGCTCAGCAGAAAAACGCACATGATTAAGCTGAAAGACCCCACAGGTTCGGGCCTAAAGATTCGACAGACATGACTCCTCTTTTTCCTCAGGGTAGGTTCTCTATAAGCCTTTACTCTTCATAAAGTCACCGGATCAGGAATCAGATATTTAGTCTTCCGTCACAGAACTAGCGTAACACAGTATGGACATTCAGCCTTCAAAATTGCCCGAGACATTCTCAAAACTGTTCTCAAAGAGCTCTTGAAACTCTTGGATCAATTAACTGCTAATTATCAAACAGGCTAGATGACCTCTTGTTTGTAAACTTTCTAATGTGCTTATTTTCTTCCTAAACATTTGAAGGAACACAACTACAATCAAGCCTGACATTGTACCCATTTTGAAATTAAAGCCCTTTCGACAAAAGAAAGCGTTTTGTGTTTAGAATAAAGATTTCAACAAAATGCTAAAAATGTGTTAAAGAGACTACAAGGCATTTATATCTTTCTGTACAAACCTCTTCAAGACACATGGCTAAATGCCGTAAAGCAAGTCCTCGGGGATGGTTGCATACTTTCGAAATTACAGCCTTCCGAAACTATTATCATGGGTCATAAAATTAAGTAAAGTAAGGTGCCAGGAGCAATCATCACTGGGGTCAATGATCTAGGTGGAAGCTGTCTAAAGACAGTAAGGACTAGGATCTTGTTGGAAGCATACAACCACATTGTAATCTGCTGTAGCCACCATTCAAGGAGTATCTATGATAAGATAAATGTTCAAAGATCAATTTGGGGCTACATGCTCCCTAAAGGATTCCACTGTTTAAAGCAAGATTAAAAAAGGAATTAAACTTGCTCTCACAGCACATTCTCCTGTTCTTTAAGATGAAATATTATAAAGCATGACCATTCAATTTTAAGTGAGACACAGCAACACAGGTTATTAATGAAAAACACAATGATTGCTGCTTGGAAACTCAGTGATTCACAATCTATTTTTAGACATACAGAATGGTCCGCACTAATTCTGGATTTTGGCAAAGGGAATGGATTGTAAACCTCTAAGAGGCAGACAAAAATAATTCTATAATTTCTCATTAACTTGGCCTTTGAGCCATGCTGGCAGATGAGGACAATGTTTTGTTCCACTGGGATATTTGCCTTCCAGTCTTTAATACTTTTTGTACTTATCAGCAAAGCTTTGGGGTACAATGAAAGATACATGATTTCTATAACAGAAATGTGTTGCTGCTTACTGGATATATTCCCAAAAACTATTCAAGAACATTACAAAGGATGTCTGAAGTGTCTAGCTCATTACGGTCAGGACAACAGTAACAACTGCACAGTTTGGAGTACAAAGTGTCACTGAAATAGATTTGGCAAAAACAGACTCCTTGATATTTAGCAGTCACCAGTTTGATGTTGCTGCTTATTTGGGGTGGTTAAGTATTTCTCAAGGTAAACAGGATTTCTGTTCACCTCCTCCTTATTGTCTTCAGAAAACAACTAATAACATCATACTGTAGGATTACTTCCAAACATAAGAGGAAGCATCAGTCTCATCAACCTATTGGTTCCACCTCCAGGTAACATAAAACCGGAAATTCACACACCACCAGACTTGGAAAGTGGAAGATAGAGTGAAGAAAGGTAAACACTAAAACTGTAAACTAACTAATAAATACTCCAGGGTAATGTATTTTAGTTTCCTGTTGCCATGGTTACAAGAAAGACTGCTTAAGGACATGTGAGCAAAGAGTAAGAAGCAAATTGCAAGAACAATGCCTCATTATGTGAAATTATGCACACCAAACTGGTAAATTGGTAAATGGGCATCGGTAAACCTATGTGGCATAATGTAGTTGATACTATCTTCCTAACAAAAAGTCTTGATGAAACATAAATTCTGTTAAAAGTGTACTGGCTGGAGGCTCAGGACACGACTCTCTTCCTCAGGCCGTGCAATCATTCAGGCAGGAATCATGACATCATTCCCTCAGCTGCATTTCCCACAAAATGAAAAACCACACAAAAAACCTAATCTACTATTTAACAAATCATCAAAACCAAAGAAACATGCTACCCTCTGGCACCTCCTAGACCTGTCATAACCTAAATAGTATGGCCTTGAATAAATAGTCCTTGTTTACGACTAAATATAATACAGATGAGAGATCGAAAACGTTATTTTTTTTATTCCTTTGTATTAAAGCAGTTTCAGCGACAATACAACCAAAACATCCAGACCTGCCAAAAGGCATCACTTACATTCTTGTTGAGCAAAAACTTTAAATCCTTTTGTGTCTGAAAGGAGGAATGCTTAAGAATCCTGTGTTTCAGGGAGCAGAAGCCAGTGATTTACCTTTATGACCCACATCCCCGGCTCTGGGTCCTTGATGTTGATCACCTTGGCCGAGTTGGGGATGTGTAGCAGCTCATTCAGTCCAGCACCCTTCTGTATTTGTTTTCCTGCAGTGATAACGTGATCAAAGCCAGATCAGCCTACGGTATGTCAATGTTCTGATCACCAATCTGGAGTCTGCTTTGTGCTTTTCAATATCAGTACATTCCAATGGTGAAGATCAAATGCAGGTTGAGCTATGTAATCACGGATTCTGGCCTGTGTCATGTGGAGTGCTGTGATACACACAATTAAGTAGCACCAGGGGTGGGGTACTATGAGCTCTCAGTAACACAGCGCCCCCTGTGGCCATTTCCTGCTTAGAGGAATGTGGTGCTGTTGGGCTGTGTTGAAATTCAAGAGGTGTCTATGGATCAGAGGAGTCTTATTCACTCTTCCCTGTGTGCGGTTACAGGGTTCATAACTGTAAGCCAAGACATGAATATCTATTACAAATCAAGCCAGAAGACCAAAAGAACTGGTGATTTAAAATGCTTATTAAAAAAATGGATCACCCTGGACAATTCCACCATGCAGTCAGACGAAGTTGAGAACAAGCCTTACCCTGAGGGTCATGGATCTCAATAACAGGTGCAGGGCCACTCAGTGCCACAGTCACTTCTTTCAGACTGGGATCAAAAGGGATCTGCCAGGTGTTTGAGACGCCCGTGTAGTGATCCGTGGAAAGCAAGTGAACTTTGGAGGACTGCACTGCTTCTTCCACCCATTTCAGCACCTGCAAAAATAGAGGAATATTTTCTTTCTTGTAACAGGAATAGTAAATATGTATTTCTAATTTCCGCATTATACAGTTGAACCAAGAAAATGTAAGTTTTGAAAGGCATTTTATGCGTTGAGTATTGTCAGTATTATCATATTGAGTATGATCATTTAGATCATGCAATTTTAGACCAAGACCAAGTGGGAACATGTACTGTAGATGCTGAATAGCAGGGGGGCCAGTATTGACCCTTGGAGAACACCAGACTTAATTAATCCAACTTCAGAACTAAAACCCACGAAAAAAACTAAGTGTCAATGATGACTAAGATAAGAATTAAATTAGAGCCATGTCAGAAACCGCAAATACAGTCTTGAGATGGAAGAGTAAAATGTCATGATTAGCAGTCAGTGTCAAAAGCAGCACTTAAGTTTAGGAGAACTAGGATAACTAGTGAACCAGAATCGGCTGCCATAAGAAAATTGTTAGTAACTTTAACAAGGGCAGTTTCTGTGCTGTGTAATTATCTGAAACTAGATTAGAAGGATTCAAAGAGGTTATTTGCAATGAGGTGATCTCAACAGTATGTTTTCAAATCTTTGCAAAAAAAAGGCGAGTTACATATAAAGATTATTTAGGTTGTTTAGAGTCATGTTTGTTTTTTTTAGTTCACAGGAATAACAGAAGCCATTTTAAAGGCTGTTGGTACCACCAAGAACACATTTATTATGCTGAGGGAGGTAGGAAAGAGGGCTGGAAAACAGCATTGAAATAAAACAGAAGGAATGGGATACAGTAGACAGGTGGTGGATTTCATACGCAATACCAATTTACTAAGGCATGCAGTGTCAATTTGAGAGAAACAACAGTAAAAATAGGCATGCGGGGAGGAGGTATATTAGTGTTAACTGTAGTGGAGAGAATGTGATGCTGAATATTATCAAACTTGGTTGTAAAAACAAGTGTTACAAAGATGGGATGAGGCAGGTACTGTAGTGGGGCAGTCAGCCTTTAGCAATTGACTGATTGTTCAGTTGAGGTATCTAGGATTGTTTAGGTTTTTCTCAATGATATGGGAGAAGCAGCTGGATCTAGCAGACTCCATTGCATCCTTCTATTAAATCAAGACTGTAGATGTATTGTACACTCAAGCCAGAAAGACCCCTCCTACAGTCCGTTCTAGTTTGCGGGACACTGCATTGAACTGCTCAGCATACCATGGGGCACGATGAGTACAGGAGATGGATCGGGTTTGAACGCTAAGATAAGATTATCAAGAGTAGTTAAAAGAGAGATATGAAAGGTTTCACCTTGTCATTCAGAGTATCAGAGATAGGAAAGCAAGACAAGGAAGAGGGAGTAGATTCAGCAAATAGTATGTTTAGCAAACATATTCTGGTCAACTGATTACCAGCTGGAAAATGTAATGTAGAAGAAAATGAGACAGGAGACTATAAATCAAAGAAAGCAGCAAAAGCCTGACCTAATTCAAGATAAGTGTGAAATAAGAGTAATTTGACTCCAAGATGTGCCTTTTTAGTGATATGGATTGAGAACAAGTTGTGTGTGACCAAAGTATTCCAACAAGGCTAGAAAATCCTTAACAAAATTGCAATGCTGTGAATCAGTGCGGATATTAAAATCACCCAGAATAAGGATCTTATGAAATCAGAAACATAGCTAAGATAGAAAATCGGCCAACTCGCTTAAATAAGCATCATTGAGTTTCAGTGGTTTATAAACTGTAACAATGACGGCAGACTGAGGAACAGAGACATTTAAAACAGGACACTCAAAAGAAGAATACAGAGGTACAGTAACCAGACTTGCACAGAAAAGTAAGTTACAAATAACAATCAGGTCCCCACCAAGGGCAGAGAGGTGAGATAACTCAGGGAAGCCAAACCTTGGAGGAATAATCTGGTTAAACAGGAGACATTCGTCATTCGTCTGTGCCAGCTTTCAGTCAAGCGCAGAAAGTTGAGTTTTATGTCAGGAATGACATCATTTAGTAAGACAGAACAGGTTTTGAATAAAACAGATTTGGCCAGTCGTGGTGAGGCAGGGGGTTCTGCGAGAAGTTTAGTGTGTTCCAGACACAGAAGGCAGTGTAAATTGTTAAAAAGGGCAGAGTGAGACAATTTAGGGGTGCTGAAAAACAAGTATTTTAACACATCTTGAAGAGATTGGAAGAAAAGAGCTTCCAGAGCTGCGATGATATTAAACTTCATCCGAAGCCACCTACTAGCATGTGTTTTGAGTAATATGTAAATTGTAAACAGTAACTTTGCAATGCACAATGATTTATACCACTTCAGTTATAATGATGATTGAAATGCATAAATGATTAAATAAGAGATTTATACATGGAATTATGCAGAATTTTGAGAAAGCGTTATTTTATAGGAACACAATCCAATTTCTGGCAGTACTGAAATAACAAAAGTAGTTAGATCTGAGCAGGCATTTTAAGTTCATAGTCTCTATCCTTGACAATGAAGACAGAGTGGGACTTGGACTCAATGCAACGAAATCCTTAGTCAGAGAGCCCTTTGTGTTTTAATTCACTGCAAGTGGGGTCATCCCAGGAATGTGTACAAATTTCGGGAATCTACATAGAGACCATGCTTTAATTCCCACTTGGTTACTGTAGGTCACAAAAAGGTATTTTGCAAAACTCCCATGTCAATTCCAGGCATGTGCCACGGGTGTTAACAGTTTCTCAATAACACACAATTTCTGGAATCTCTTGACAGCTTTTCCTGAGAGGAATTATACAGGCCGGCCATTTAAGTCCATCCCATATGTCATGGTGATCTACATGGAGCAGGCATTGTCAATAAACTTATCTACACTAGCTGAACCATGGACACCTATAAACTATTTGCTGAAAAAGAAGCCGCTACAAAGACAGAGATAAAACACAAATGAGTCAAAACAAGGAATTGGGATCAAAACCTGAGGTTTGAGCAGAAAATCCCCTTTTCTAAGAATGTCCCTCACGTCTGCACATGGCTCCCTTTCAGAAGTGATGCCGTCTAGAACATTTTTACCTCTCTTATCAAGAAGAAATCATTTTTGCAGATATGGTCAACTTCACATAGCAGATAATATCTAGCATATTATTAAAAGCTTATGGGAACTGCACGGACCAGGGATCCATCTACCTGTTTGTCAAATTTAACTACTCAACAGAGATGTAGTGATCTTTTAATGCAACACCTGTCGTTATATTCCTTGTAAATTCCAGGACTTGTTTTATGAGGTTCAGGTTAAAGAAAATATCTGCCGAGTTTCAGCCATTAATTCATACATCATTTTAAAATATACCAGAGAAATCACAGTGTTCATTTTAAGTCACACATAAAAGCCCACTCAAAGTTAACATTTTGCAAGATCTAGAGTATCACCGTCAAAATGAGTTATTTTGTAATGTAGATCGTACTCTTTTTGAGATATACATGAGCTAACAAATGGTCTGCAGTAAGAACAGAAAGAAATAAGGGAAAATGAGAGTAGTTATGCACTGAACTGGACATGTGCATCACAATGCATAGAGGAAATCTCATGGGAGAAGGATTTCCTACAACCAAAGAGGTTAAATCAACATCTGTTTTTCTTTCTCCTCAAATGATTGATCTGTGCCGTTAGGAATATCCTTTGAAAGCTATACACCCAAGCAAAAATGATCACGAGACCAAAAACAAACCCCATATGGAGAATCAATTCTTAATAAAAATGTATCACTCAAACTATCTGCTTTTGTAGTCAATAATGACCTTTGAACTGAGATGGCTGGATGACACAAGTGCACATTCAATTGACAGTGGAGGCCTGACTAGGGAAATATTTGGAATTTGGGTGCACAAGGTGATCAGCTTTCAGGAGATGCAATCTGCATTATATTCACTTGCTGTATTATTTCAATAACATACATGATTCAGATTTGTCTCAAGTCTGTATAAGACTAAGTACAGAAGAAGCATAATTTTATGCACTGGTGTTAAGCAAGATAACATGTTATCTCATGAGTGGTAAATCTTCACAAAAATGTACCTCCTTAGCTTTGTAAGATGTTTTTGTGGGAAATTTCATAGTAGTAAGTTGTATACTTCTATGGCAGGTATGGGTTACGTTAACTGAAGTGTATCTCCTTTTTATAAAAGGATGCTTTGGGAAACAAATGCATTATTTCGTAAAAGTATTTAATAAATTAATCAATGTGACTAACAGAACTCTTGAGAAAATTAGATGTAGTATATAAACAACATTGTTATGCTGAGTGCCTGGAAAAACCACAAGAATGGAAGGAATGAGTTTTGCTTTTAACATCCAAGTAACACTTGTTCAAGTCTTCTCAAGTAACACTTTGTAATTTCCTCAAAAAAACAATAGACTAAGCAGAGTATGGCATGGCCATAAACCACATATCCATCAGTATAATTATCATGGAAAACAGACTTGGGAACACATGCACGGATGGTAGAGGTAAGATCGATATGTTACAATTTGTTAATTAACCCATTCACTTATTAGGCAGGCATACAACTTAAATCTGGCAGGAAGGTATGAAAAAGTAGAACAGAACAGATTAAAAAAAATAATCATCTAAATAAACAACAATCCTAAACTAAAACTGGCAAAGAAGACCAGGTTTAACACTGTACAGAGAAGAACTGTGGACCCTGAGAAAACCATCACACCCAAATAAATGCCTATACAGTTCGAACGAGTCCAGACGAAGCCAGCTGAGGATGCCTACCTCATTGACCTGCTTCTTGTCCAGATGAAAGACTTGCCCTGAGCTGGTGGAGGCGATCTCCTCATAGACTTTGTAGCCAATGTGCCCCCGGTCATCGCAGTCTCCTGTCAGCACAAACACCACCTGCACAGCACATAACACATTCTATTTGGAATATATCTAGGGCTACAAAATATTTTTTTTCTGTCATCTTGGCTACATGTCTTAAAAAACAACAGCAGGGTCTCCACATCTGTGAATTTAACATTCGCCAATTCACTTATTTGGGATTTGGTCTGGGGCCTTGTATGGACGAAGAGCACAGTGGAATGTAATAGCGCCGAAGATTGCAAACTGTGCAACAGGACCCTGAGCGGAATCTGGTAAGTGAGTGAGCCTCTGTCTGTCCCCTGCCTAAGTACCCACTACCCAGCATACAGTATGCATCTCAACATGGTCTTGTTTTTGCATTGTACCGAACTCTTGCTTCTGTGTTGGTGGAGTGGAGGAAGACAGGCTGGAGATGACTTTACAGATTCACTGATAGTTTTATTGCCCTTTTAATTACAGTGGGGCATGCTAATGATAGAGGCAGAGAAAGTGTAGGCATCCACTGTACATATGTTGTTTATTTTAACTGATTACTATTTGTAATTAGTGTTGTTTTATTTTAGTTGATCAGTGTTCTTTTATCGAACTTAAAGCCAATGCATTAGTACTTTAATTATCATATAAAGGAAGGTTACTTATGTCTTTAACCATACAGTACATACTATATACTGTACATGCACAGTATATACAGTAGCAGTGGACGTGGTTATATAAGAATTTGGTTCTCTACACCAAAACCTTGTAAAAGTTAACACCCCACTGTACATGTTTAACAGATCTTACTGAGTAAGATGGGACTGTTACAGCGATTTTACCCTGTAGGTCTCCCACTATTTTGCAATAGTGGATCTGATGCTTGTCCAGTCAAATCTGGGGTCCAATTACACCAGTTATACATCTCAAGAAAAGGAGTATACATTGGCCACAAAACTCATAATGATGTTAGAACATGAGAAAGGTTACAAACAAGGGGAGACCATTTAACCATTTTAGCGGTTTGGGTTGCTAATAGTTGATGGATTAAAGGATTCTTCTTTAAAGAAGCCAGGATATCATTTTCAACAACATGACAGGGTAGCTTGTTCCACCATCCTACTGTACAACGCTTCCTGTGAAGAAGTGCCTCCTGATCTGTCTTAAATGCATCTCTCCTTACTTTCCACACAACTCCATTTACATCATATAAGAACCAAGGAAGAAGTTATTTAACATATACATACTTAAACAGCATGCTCATTTAATGTAACCTCAAATGCTTTGGTTTAAGAGAATAATATGACTGCTCTTAAACAGAAACGTTACCTGTGACTGCTTCTGCTGGATAAGTTGCAGGACTTCGTGTGTGAGCTTGTAATCTTTAGATCGTGCATCTGTGAAGACATAGATGAAGGATCCCGGAAGAGAGATTTCCAAAGCGATCTTGATAGCTCCGATACTCATTTCTGGACAATCCCCTCCACCCTGTATGTAGAAAATGAACACTAAATCAAGTGGTCTAACAAAATCTTCAAATTGTGAACCTCTGTGCTTCTGCTCACATTTATAATGTTTATGTTCAAAGCAGCTTAATAACTGATACGTCTAGGTTTTTTTAATATAATACTGGTAGACGTACTGTAGAATAATATTTAATAATCTGTAATAATGTTTTAAATTCGTGAAGACAATTTATAATACTTTTATTACATTTTTTTGTTTTACAAATTTCAATTGCTTGAGACACAACACTGTGTCTTTCTTTACTCCATCGTACTGAAAAAAGACCCACCCTTCCATTTCTGGGCAATCATCGTCCTTTAAGGTCAAGGGAAATGTCTTTTCACATTCTTTGAGGTCTACAACTGAATGAGGAAACTGATGGATATGAGCCAAGTGGCAAAACACATCTGGAAGCAAGTGATCTCTATTAAAACACATGGAATGCGAAGAATACTTTGTCCTGTTCCATCACTGCCGAGTCCTAGCAAAAACCACACATCAACAAACCCTGGAGTGAGACATTAAATGCACCCACTTCCAAAAATGATCCCACAGTCAATTACAAGCATTTCACAGATGCTTCAGAGATGCATTCCTTGGAATTTTCCCGCTAATCGGAGATTTCTTTATTCTTTTCCAAGTTTAGAAAAGAACATTGTTCTTGGAAATCCACAACAGTCAATAACAAGTGTTTTTTGTTGAGGAGAAAAGAATATAACATACAAATTTGAAAGAAACATGCTCTAAGAAACTGGGGAGTGCTGTAATGTATGTCAGTGAGCCAATATGTACTAAGATGATTACATGATGTAATAAAGAACAAAGTCATTACACAAGTCATTGGCTTTTCCTAAGCTGAAAGCCCTCAATGAAAAAATAAACAGATTTTTAAGTATATTGTCACTTATTTCAAGAGAAGAAGCTGTTTCAGTGAAAAGGGTCAAGAGAATGTTAAGTTAGTTAACCTTCTTATTGTGGGCAAGAGGCAGCTTACAACAGTGAAGAGACATTTGTCAGACACAGATGTCTGAAACAGTCATGAAACAGACTGTGTGGGTAAGATAAGAAGGCTTAAATTATGTCTACAAGCCACGGTGCAGAATTCACAGAGCAGTGCCAGGGCAGGGTGATTGTTAGTTGGAGTCCTCTGAGTTTGAGGCAGGTGTCTGCAGACTTGCAGTGGCAACGGTAGGACACATGACAGTAGTCCTCCAATCAGCACTAACTCTCCTGCCAGGCAGTGCAGGAGATCTATCCATCCAAAGATGAATCAAACTGATAAGCATGTGTCAGAAGACCATATCTACTAGTCCTCAGTAGTTCTCACACTGGTGCAAGAGTCATTGCTGAAATCCAATCCACTAAATAATTACAATTTTGGGTGGATATATCATAAAAATATTCCATTTATAAAAACTGGACCATGCCTGTATATTGAGAACTTACCTGTACAGTACATGGGTGGATATATAAAAAAAAATGTTCCATTTATAAAAACATGCCTGTATATTGAGAACTTACCTGTACATAGAGCTCCCTGAGTTCATACTGGAACTTCTTTGGATCTGTGGTGATTGTAACAGGTCCGATTTCTACAAAAAAGAAAGAATTCATTCATTATAAAATAACATTTACAGTAGTATCTGACTACATTAAACGTCCGAATCAAGTTGTTCATCAAAACTGCACAACTCAATATTAATTAAGTATTCCTTTAATAATTATTCCTATTTGGTGAAGCTATGTTTTCACGAGCACAAACATTCATGCTGATCTGAAGGAAAAATGATGTTTTCAGACTTTCTATAAAATGCCTAACATTTGCTCATTTGCTTGTGCAGAACTATCCAAAGTTCACACACAAAATATGAAGGATCCTGGTAGTCCACAGATTCCACTGTCAGGAATCTCCATTTTCATGATGAAGGGAGCCAATATTATCATTGGAGATAGGGAAAGTTAGCAATAGGTGTCTGTCAGTCCACCATATGTTTCTGCCTAAGAACAAATTCCAGGGCTCTGCACAGAAGGCACAACAGCCTCGAGAATGGATCACTTTCTAAAGTCAGGTTGACAGCTACAGGCACTCGCACACATTACACCACTACAGGTCCCCCAACTCTGCCGGTGTTGAATTTCCAGTAATCATTCAGCTGAGATAAATACACTGCTGTATTCCCAGCGTCATCGGGGACAGAACCTCAGGATACAGAGACCTGCTCAGTACGCCCCTTTTAAATAACAATGGCCCCTTGAAAATGGAATAGGAAAATCGATTCATTCATCCAGTCTCTTCATTCCTTGTTCTATCAGTCCAAATTATGAAGATGAAGAAATAACAGTACTTTTGTTTGTTTTATACAGTAAACACGATTAGACAAAAGATTTAAACCCCATCTCAGAGCAAGCAACCTACTGATTATTATTTGCCTTTTATAGATCTTAGAGTTTTTCATGTTACTTAATATCAGCTTTTTCGCTGGGCAAAAGCGTCTAGTGTCTTTTTGATCATGATCAAAGTCAAATTGGAATTGAAGGTCAATCACCATGTTCTTTACATTACGTTTGTTGTGTCTTTTCTTTTTGCTGAAACAGAAAGAAACTGAGAAATACTAGAACCCGAAATTTGAGCAAAAGCAAGGCACATCATTATTAAAAATAAAAACCTCAGTTCTATATTTTCGAATGCCTTGCATATTATTGGTCTTCATTTCCTTCCTCATTCCCAAATTGTTAAGGTAAAGCTAAATCAAATTTAGCCTGAATATTTTACTAGAAAACATAACACACAATTACAGAAAACAACTACAGCACAACACTCCCTTAAGAGTACACCCTGCTGGTACTAATTGACAATGACTCCTTCATCTAGACTAAGGTATCCTTGTAATGAATGTTATCATTTCTAAACTGATCAACTGCTACTCTTTTGTAACTGCACCACATTCTTGGACTAAGAACCATACAGTATACTGCAACTAAGATATGCTGAACATTGTTTGTTTCAGCAAAATAGAACTGTTCAGTGATTTATAACAAAGAGGGATTTTGACAGTTTTAACCTGTTAAATGTTTTCTGTCCAGTATCAGTAGCCCTGTTCTACAGCTTATTTTGATTCTGATTTTAATGAGCTGTTGAGTCCTTAGGTCAGATTTTTAAATATTTCCATTCACAGAGGGGATGACTTCAGTTATTGCAGCTGTGAAACCCAAGCTTTGGAAGCATTAGTGTTGCTTTCTGCTGAAATAAGTCATTATTCTGCTGGCAAATGAAAATAATGACTGAGTGTATGTTAATAAGTTAATAAGTAGCACTTCCACAGATAATGTGGAAGACCTCTCTTTAAAATCCTGGTGTTGATACACAGACTGTGCTACCTCTTTGTGAAAAGCATTTTTCTGCATCTACCTAAAAAGCAATAATTTTGGACTTCTGAAAAATTAATGATTAAGATATTTTTTTAAAGTATTGCCCTTACTACAGGATCTTAAGTGAATCTCTTGACAAATGCTTCCTTAAGTACGTTTAACATGCCAAATCTCATTGTATATCCAGACAATGAAACCTTGTGTCACTGCACAACACATTCCATTTCAAACATGTATGATGTTTGTTAGGGACAAACCATGCAACAGTATTTTAATTCTTATATAGACATTTTGTGTTTCTTCCTAAAATTACCTCTTAATTTTTTGTTGAAGTAACCAAATAGCAGAAAGAGACTGCTGTTCGTAAAAGCTTTATACATACATTCACTCTAATTTTTACAATATATAATAACTCAAGAGAAGTCTTTCCAAATGTTTAAATTTGGCAGCAAGTGTTGGAAGCCAAGCAACACTTCTGTGATCAAAGACATTTTAAAACTAACAGGGAAATGCATTTGGCTTTCTGAATGGAATGAAATTTGTGAGTAAAAATCTTGCTGTTCGTGAATGGAAAAATTGATTCTGCTTTTACATTCTTTTGATCAGTCAGCAAGGTTTTCATCTCAACCCATTGGGCAAATAATCTTTCTCCCTTTCACAGTTAAAAGACACAGACCCAAATCAGATACAGCTTGGTAGAGTTTTGTAAGAGTAAAGTAATTCAACTATTCAGAGTAAACCACTATCAATTTTAGCGAGACCATCCTGAAAAACAGCATATGTTTTAGGAATGATATATTATGTGCAAACTAAGAAGGAAAGAGCATGTGTCCATTCTGCTTGAAAGAATGCTTAGAAGTTAGACTGCGGGATCAAACAGTAAAGGAACAATAAATCACAAAATGTTTGTCTTTTAAACAACAAATACACTCAAGAGTTTCAAGGCAGATGCACTGAACAAAAAATAAAATCAGTTCAGTTTATCCCATGTCTTTAGCATAAGTATAAGTGTGGTAAAAATTAAATGATTTACTCCATTAATAATTATCTCATGGCCAGGACTATTACAGTATCTTAATTCTGATGGAAGGGAAGAGACTTCAGCACTCTAATATCTTTGGTTTTTAAATGAATGCAAATTTAATGTAAATGCTGGGAATTATTTATGTATTTGTACCCTAGAGAGTGGATACAAGGGAATTCCAGTCCCAAAAACAAAAAGGTCTTATTACTATTATTATTTATTCCATGAGACTGGTTGAAAAGGTCAATTTCCAGAAAGTAAAATTTCAGGAAATTCCTCCAAAAGAAAAGACTCAGCCTACAACCTTCATCCAGTTCCACACAGAGGAATAATCTGGGAAACAAATACTGTGTCTAGTTTACCCTGTACCACTAGCAGGAGAGTTTACATGCTGTTGGAGCAATCACATTAACAGCCCAGAACATTTGTTTTCATTTTTTTATCCCCACAGGCAAAAGTGCTGCCCCTCAGAATGTGTAATTATAGCACTCCATAAATGACTCATTAAAGTAAGTCCAAGAAGGTGAATTGTGTCAACTTGGTTTTCAAATGACTGGTGAAAACATATTAATCATGCCATTTGCATTGATTCAGACAGGAATTCCAAATTAAAGAGATTTCTACATTGCCATAAGGTAATATTCTAAGGTTCTAAGCACATAATAATTGAGGGACTTTTTAAATAAACACATTCAATAACTTCAGCATTTTTCAAATTCTCTTTTACTACATTTTCACATTTTACACTACAAATTATTCACATTTTATTCTATGCCATGTACATTGTAAATCGCCTTCTCTATTCAAACATTCATCCTCATATGAGGATATGTACTGTATATGTCACTTTATGTGAGATACTAATACTGTACTGTATGTCACTTTCACATCCAATAGAGAACTGGCAAATAGCCTAATTCACTGAGTTCTTCTCTCTTCTCACATGTTCATTAAATTAGTACTTCAAATTTAAAACATAAGCAATGGGGCATAAAATTCAATTACCAAGGAAGAAACAGGGTTTACCACATATAAAACAATCTCATATCCATAACATTTGTTCTGTGACTAATTACCCATGGCAACCGTAGTCAGTAAATTTCATTGGCTAAAACTGAACTGGCAGACTCCTGCTGAAGTCTTTCGAAAGACAAATGTGACAAAAAACATATAAAATCAAGAGCCTCTTTTGCTACTCTGTCTGCCTCTTTTAACTTGATTTCATTGGTCTGAATGGCTGTGGAATGGGATAAAACAATGGTAAGTGTTATGTAAGAGTTGGAAAGACTGCATAACAAAAGGTTCATTTTGTTCAGAGGGATGGTATGTAGACAAATGTGAACTGAGTGTATCCCCACAATTAGCACATTTTATTACAATTCATATTGTACTATCATAAAAACGTGAGGAGAAAAAAAAAAAGCTTTCTAGAATGTGCTTGTTACAGACCTGATACTATTATGCTCCCCAGCAAACAGCATGTACTGGTCAAGCAAGACTGTAAGAATAAGAATATAAGATTAACAACTGGTGACGTGTGAAGTCCACAAGAGAAACCATGAAGTGCCACTGCTACTCAATGTCCGCCTCATCCACCCTACACCTGAAGACAGAAACCAAGTCTTCTGTGATTTTCTTGAAGTTTTTTCTTGTTCCCTCTTGTAATATTGCAAAACAAATAAACAAAACCAAGGCCCGAAAGTGCAACGTGTAGGAAAACGAGGCATAAACATAAACACAATTTTTAATCTGGTGACTAAAAAGAATTCACAGGCCTGCAGCCAGTGAAAGGAACATGGCTTAAATTCCATTAGAGAACACAAGTTCATTCTCCTCTCACTTATCACACTAACCGGGACAGCACTGTTGGGGGAAATGTGCTAAAATCATAAAAAAATCTCTAACTTACATTTAGCAAGTGTGTTTTTTTAACACACATGAAGATATTGAACTCGGCTTTTAAGGTGGCTCTGTGGCTAAGGATCTGCGCCCGTGGCTGGAAGGTTGCCGGTTTGTATCCTGCGCCCGGCAGAGGAATCCTACTCTGTTGGGCCCCTGAGAAAGGCCCTTAACCCAACTGCTCCAGGGGCGCCGTTAAAAATTGCTGACCCTGCGCTCTGACCCCAAGCTTCTCTCCCTTTTCTGTGTACCTCATGGAGAGCAAGTTGGGGTATGCAAAATGAAAAATTCCTAATACAA